GTGTCACAGTGTCCAGCGTGCACACGCTCTCACACACACACACACACACCCGTGTCAGTGTCCAGCGCGCACACACACTCAAAAAAAAAAACCACCCGGCCTGGACCTGCCACCGACAGATATCGACTCAACAACACTTCTGACGCCATATTTCTAAGCATTCGGGTCTTTATCAAAAAGATGTCCTGCGCTCAACCAGCTTGCGCTACCGCTTCAGACGGGCGGCCCCGCAGCTCAGTGCAAGACCTGCCAACTTCAACCCCGCGAGCAAACGAGTGAAAAAATCCTTATAAAATACACCACCGCGCCCCTGAGAGATTTAACCAGCTCTGCCGAGCCTACGGCGGGGGCAGTAGCAGTACCGCCCCCACCTGCGAGCTGGTACCGCCTAACTGGATCTCTGGCCTCAGTACTGTCGAGAGAGTTCGGGTCCCGTGGCTGCTGCGGCCGACCCGGACAGCGCCTGCTTTGGGTGGACCGCCAGTGAAGCACTAACGGTGGAGAAAGGACAATATTGGGGGTCTTTCAGAGTCGGGGAGGCTTAAACAGGATTCCTGGGTTGGGGAAGGAGGCATGTCCAGCTCCCTCGGTCCCGCAGGTCCGCTTTCCCCTCCGCGCCCGACCCGTGTCCCCTTCCCCACCCGCCGCGGGACACTCACCGTCCGGGACCTCCCTGTCGCTGATGTGCTGCAGGTAGGGCCCGGTGTCGGGCTCGCTCAGGTCCGGGTCCACTCGGTACTCCTCCAGGCGCTCCTGCTGCCTCCTCGCCCGGCTGACCTTCGGACTGCCCCCGGGAGACACGCAACACGACACGGTGTTCCCCATCCCCACAGTCCCGCTGGCGGGTCCCGGGACTCTGCTGGCGAGCGCCTCGACCCCTCAGGAAGAGCCTGCTTCGCCGAAACCCGCTGTCCTGCCTCGGCTTCGGAGCTACGAGGACGCCCGCCCGGCCTTAAAATCCAATTGCATTTAAACCGTGACGTTTGAAACCGCAAGGAAGTAGTGTGAGGTGTTTTTTCTCACGATGCGGGTACGACTCCGCTTGGAAAGTTACATCCCTCTGGCTGGTGAGCTGGGTGACCTGCCCCAGGCTGCGGGCACCGCCAGCCCAGCAGGGCGCGCTCCCAGAAGCGAAGCGGACCGCACCGGACCGGACCGGAGCCAGCGCTGTCCGAACCGCTCTCTCCGCTCGCCTCAACCCGGCGGCACGACTCCTCAGCCAATCCTACACCCGCCCCAAGAGTCCCAGAAGAAGTGAGCGAAACCGATCAGGCCGTTTCTCCTGCTACATGCTTTTTTTTTCTTTAATAAAAAAGGAAAGGATTAGTCCGAACAAGTTTGCAACAAGCGGCGATTCTTTGGAGAAGCTTCTATTTCGAGTCTGTTTTCTTTTTTTTTTTAAATGTAGTGTATGAACCTGGATTTCCACTAATCCGCTCCAACCCCGTCCGCCCGCCCGCCTGCCCGCCTGCTTGCTTCTGCTCCGGGATTTGCGTCTCTCCGAGGTAGATCTCCACTCTTCGCCCCGCTCGCTCTTACGGGATCCAAGCTCAACTGTACCTCGAGGATGAGAGGCCTACGACCCCAGGCTGCTCCAGCGGGCTTCAACCCCCCTGGGGGAGTCCAGTCAGGCACGTATTCGGCCTCAGCCTTTTTCGGAGCACGGCTTTACTCAACTCGACCCCGGTATCGGCTATGGAGAATCCCCCCCCCCGGCGCTATCCCCTCCTCCCCACCGGCAAGTTCAGCAATCCGCTCCCCGCCACCACCGCCATCTGTTCCCAGCGCCACTACCTGGCACTCACACGAGCCCCACCCACCACCGGGGCCCCGCGCTCCGATTGGCTATTTCGTCCAAACACAGACCGAGTCGAGTAGTTTGATTGGGTCGTGGTGTTGTCACGTGACCAAAGTGGAGGCGGTCAGGCTGGTCAGTACCCCGCCCACTTTTACTAATCTGGCTCCTTACTCGTTAGATTAAATGTCAGTCACCGAATGCCTCTTGGTTTCTGAACACTGCCACTGTCAGTCAAACGGCAACCCATGATACCCCTCCCCATTCCGGTGGAAAGGGGTGGGGCTTAAGGTTAAAAGTCCCTCCAAGGCTCTGGAAACATACTCCAGACCCCAGAGGGCAGCCTGCTATGTCCTTAAAGGTACAAGGGCCCACATCCGCTGAAACAGAGGGCATGATGAAAACGACACTGAGTTTCTTTGAAAAGTATTAATGTAGATTTATACAGTATATGCGGGCTTTATTGGTACGCTATGTTACACAGGAATTGCTAGAATATTTGTGCAAAGAAAAACGGCACGACGGAATATTGGCAGTGTAATATTATTCTGGCACATAGCAGAAAATAATTAAACACAGAAGTGTACCGTACAACAACAGACAGCACAGGCTCAATGAACTTTATTTGGCAATAACAGTGTTGCCAACGCCATAAAAATCACCAAAACATTCACAACAAGTTATTAATTGTAGTCGCTGCTTTTAGTTGTTGCCAACATTTTCTTTCTGCATATTAATCAGCACTGGGCATTGGTCTAATCCAGCCCAGCAAGCACCGTGCCATGTTTGTGCACACGAAGAATGTTTTTTTCAGAATTTTGTGTGCAGCGGTTCAATGGGGATTTTCATTTTATTCTAGTCTGGGATTAGACCCAGCAATCTATTTACCACTCATGGCCTCATAATAATCCCCATCTCTGAACTGGCTTCATCACTCTGCTCTCCTCCCCACTGAGAGCTGGTGTGTAGAGAGAGTACTGGTGCACTCTGGCTGCTGTCTCATGATCCAGGTGGGGCTGCACACTGGTGGTGGTGGAGGAGAGTCCCCATTACCTGTAAAGCGCTTTGAGTGGAGTGTCCAGAAAAGTCCTGTATAAGTGTAAGCAATTATTATTGTTATAGTTCAGGTGGGCACCTGCATCAGCATGCATAGGCTGCAATGGAACAAGTAATAGGTTTATTCCATGCTGAAAAAAAGAAGAAAGAAAACACAACGTTTCGGCCGTGGAGCCTTCTTGAGCCTGAAGAAAGCTCCACGGCCGAAACGTTGTGTTTTCTTCCTTCCTTTTTTCAGCGTAAATTATTATTATTATTATTAATAAAATGTCCTGTTATACAAATCAGTCTCCACACTTCTGTCTGGTAACTTTACTTCCCTCCAGGAACACACACACGTCTCCTTAACAAGTGACTTTTGCCCACAACACTTCTCGCTAGGCTAGAGCATCAGCACGTGAACTGAGAGCTAGACTTACATCATCACATCGCGAGATTGTAAGGGGACCCCCCCGTTAGCACTCCTGGGATTGCCTGAGCGACTTCCGGTATGTCCTTGATTGTTCGCTAGTGGGTAAGCTGCAGTTATTGTTTTTACGAGACTTCACCAGCAATATCCTATTTAAAATAATTAAAAAATCACACCTAGCACAGCTGTAGATAGGACATCTTACCAGGATAGGGAGAGAAGCTCTTTTTCGAGGTCGACAGAAAATAATAGTGGAACGGGGTTGTTAATAAAGTTCACCCTTAGCGTGAGAATTAGGTTTCAGTAGTAACCTGTAACCTATTCAGAGAAATAGGTTTCAAATGTTTAACATTAAGGTTATACGTTTTCTTTTTGGGGATGATTAAAACAGATTTTGAATACGATTGACTTTTTTTTGTGTGTGTGGTAACTTTCCAAGTTCGTAGTAGCTTAGCAGTGTTTCATAAAGACTCAGCCCGCCGTGGGGACAGAAGTCGCCAGTGTCTGGGGGGTCAGGTGGAACACGTGAGGATCTACTGCACGAATCCAGGAATGAGCCAGCTCACGGGGAATCCAGCAGAAATGAGCCCCCCGGAGCTCATTTAGCAGATAAGACGACACAAGAGGAAGATGTAATAGGCTTATTGCATGCTGAAAAGGGAAGAGAGAAAACACAACCTTTCGGCTGTGAAGCCTTCTTCAGGTGTGAGAAAGACAGCAAAGATTCAATAACACAGAATAACAAAAGCTGGGAGAGGGGAGGAGACAGGCCACTCGGGAAGATGCATTCTTCAAAAACAAACTCCGTGCTCGTGTCGTACCGCAGGAACCGGCTGACCGGTGTGCTCGCTCTCTCTCTCTCTCTCTCCCTCCCTCCCAGGCGCTGCCGGCGGAGCATGGCGCTGGTCCCGTACGACGAGAGCGCGCTGCCCGCGCTGTCCCGGCTGCACGAGTCCGCCGCCGAGTTCCGCTTCGCCGGCCGCCGCCTGCGCTTGGCCCAGGACTGGGGCCGGCTGGGCGTGGCGGCGGTGGTCTGGGACGCCGTGAGTGGGCTTTTCAAAAGGGTTCCATCTAGCTGCTTCGGTCTTCAAAAGCTGCTGCTGCTACGAGGTAGCCCAGCCATTTCCTGAAAGGAGGCGGGGGGGGGGGGGTGATCGGACTTGTTCCGGACTCCTACAACTCTTTGCGTAAAGAAGCGCCTCCCCTCCGTTTCCCCCCCCCCCCCCCAACGCTAATGTGAAACTGGGGGGCCGAGCGTTTAAATGTTGGTTGCAAACAGAAGTGCTGGGGCTTGTCGTCCTCGGAGGCTGTCCGCGGGCAGTGGGGGATCGGCCTCACTCGCTCAATTCCTTACATCCTTTTATTGTCCCAGATGGGAAATTAGCTGTGGGGGTCTCGCCAGCGGGGGGACGGGGCGTCTCTGGATGGCCAGCGGGGGGTCGGGGCGTCTCTGGATGGCCAGCGGGGGGACGGGGCGTGGGGGTCTGGCCGGTGGGGGTGCAGACCTGTGCTGTCCCGTCTGCTTGCAGGCCGTGGTGCTGTGCATGTACCTGGAGCTGGGCGAGGTGGAGCTGCAGGGGAAGAAGGCCATAGAGCTGGGGGCTGGCACCGGGCTGGTGGGCATCGTGGCAACACTGCTGGGTGAGTACCGGCGGTCAGGGGCCCTGTAGGCACTGTCCCTTCCCGGGCACTGCGCTGTACTCAAATTGTGATGGAGCTGTCGCTGTGGGAGGAGGCACCTTGGAAAGCCGTGTTTCGCCCTGTGGTTTGGGGTCATGGAAGAATGGTTCGTGGAGCAGGAGCAAACTCCTGTCTGGTCAGACTCTGATCGCAGTGGTTTATGTTGCGACAGGCCGAATCTTCCGTGCTCCCAGGCAGGACGTGCACAGCTGCTTGGCGACCTGCGTTCGGTGTCACCTGGCCGTGCGCGCCCCCCCCATCGGTCTCATTCAGGCGGGGGGGGGTCGGTTTGGCAATGCAGGCTGGGAAGGGGGTCTGACGTCTGACAGGGCCCCTGCTCTGTGTCCTAGGGGCGAGGGTGACCCTCACTGACCGGGAGCCCGCCCTGGACTTCCTCCGGGCCAACGTGCGGGCCAACCTGCCGGCGGAGCTGCGGGGCGCGGCGGAGGTGTCCGAGCTGGCCTGGGGCGAGGCCCTGCACCGGTACGCCGCGGGCGGCTACGATCTGGTCCTGGGGGCGGACATCGTCTACCTGGAGGAGACCTTCCCGGCCCTGCTGGCGACGCTGGAGCACCTGAGCTCGGAGGGCGGCGTGGTGCTGCTGGCCTGCCGGCTCCGCTACGAGCGGGACCGGGCCTTCCTGGCAGCGCTGGGCCGGCGCTTCGCCGTGGAGCAGGTCCACTACCACGCCCGGGGGGACGTTCGCGTCTACCGGGCCGTGAAGCGCCGCGCCGAGCCCGCCGGGCGGGACCTGTGACGGCGGGCGCGGCCCCCGGGGGGTTTACCGCCACTCGAGAGAACCGCCCCAGCCCGGCTCCGCTCTTCCTCACCCCCCCCCCTCGGTGGTCTTCGTCAGCAGGGCGAGTTCTGGGAGTGCTGGTTTGTGCCGGGACGCTTCAAGGCTGCTGGTCTTCTTCCGGGCCAGGGGGATCGAGCTGGAAATGTCACGTGCGCAGATCTTCATCGTTTGAGAGAAGGGTCTTCGTCCATCTGTTCGGGACCCCAGGTGGACACGTCTACGTCATGTAGATGCTTTCGGGTGTTTTGTGGACAGCAGCACTGTACATTTTAAATTCCTTTATACAGTCATTACCAATAGGGTGTATGTGATCATTTTATATTAATTTTGATATCTGCTATAAAAGGGCAAGGTAGTCTTCATGGTTGCTTGGTTGGTTTTTCTAACAGTCTTCAAAGCCGAACCAATGAGTTGATCAAAGGAGTGTTAATACTTGCACACCATGAACATTTTGAAGGCTTCTGTCTGGAAAGAGTTAGTGATGTTGGTGTAAATATGCACAGCATCATGTATTCTGACTTGATGTCCTTTTTTGTATGCTTTTCTCCCTTTGATTTCATCCTAGTGAAAGTTGCAGGCATTTTTGATACCAGAAACTGGAGATTTGACCAATACAGAAATCAAAGTGACTGTGTCTTGCTGACTTACAAAAGCTCATTTAACACTGTTAAGCTACTGTTTCAATCCACTGAAGTTATCATTTCAATCCATTTAATTCACTCGTGTTCGACAGTTTAAAATATATTTTAAAAAGTTGGTTAGAACTTGTAATACACACTTTTATATTTTGGATTAGAGGAGATGAAGTGGAAAGCACTCTCGAGCAGAGATTTTAAGTCAAGCTCAAAACAGTTTAATACATTTTTTTTCCCCCAAATAGAAAACAGTTAATTTTAAAAGCATTTTTTTTTAATGTGGCTTTACATAAGTCTATAAAAGGGTGTTACAACAGATCGGTGTCACAAAACGTTCATTTTAAACAAGGCGGGTGCAGAGATTTTTAATCGCAATGCAGGAGTGAATGAAACCGTAAAGATTCACAGACAGTTCATATAGACAGTGTACCGCTACGCTACCGAAACACAAAAGATGCTGCTAGCTTCATATATATATATACACACACATAGTGTTTAAAAATTATGCTTAGTAAAATTGGCATTGTACAAATAAAGCACAAAAAGATTTATAAAACACAATTCCTCTTCTCTGGCAGTTCTGGAGCACCAGGGACAGTTACACGCGCCATGTCATTGCGGCTTTTCTCACAGTTCTTCTGCGAGCACCGTGCACACGGCCCGGACAGCCGCCGAGTAACCCATCTGGAGACAAGGTGGCCGTCGTGGAAGAAACGCAGAAAGGGACATGCTCCCTCGAGCTAAATACAGTGCTTTCCCTAGGAGGGCTAGGCTTGGCAAGCTGCGTGGAAAAACAAATTAAAAAAAAAATGTACACAAAAACAAAACCAGCACTGAGGTGAGGTGCTTGGGTGCGACTGCTGCCTTTTGGGGAAAACCAGAACTGCACTGCTCCTCCTCGCCTGTGCCTGGTGACCCCATGCGAGCTTTATCATTGCCTGTTTCCACCTGGGATAACGATAGGGGTGCTACTTTACGTGCATGGGCTGGACGGGAGGAGGAGAGGACTAAAGACGTTCACAAAGGCCACCTTCTGCTGCTTTTGACGTTTTGAGAAAGTACTGTCTTGACGCTTCACTGTGAAAGATGCTGTACAAAAGAAATCAAAGATAGTACCAGAACTGACCTGCTGTGCGGGCCTTTGTAGTACCCTTTGTCCTTCTCCTCCAATTGCTTTAATTCACATGGGCGGTGCAGTTTAATCATTGGAAGTCTCACTGGATTTCACAGGCACGGCTGAAGCTGTGGTTTAAGCTGGCCTTCAGTGAGCTCACCTCAACAGGTGCCAACAGCTCATTAGCTGAGCAATGCCAGGATCAGTCTAAGGCTAGTACAATCCAGCAGGAATCTAGTTAACATAGGCATTCAAAAGGCATGGATGCATTTAATTAATGCAGAGTGGTGCATCACATCTCATTCATCGATTCAGGTTTCAATTTGTTTATGAACTCTGGTGCTCTCTGCTCCCTTTTTTTTAAAAAAAATTGCAGATCCTGTAATTTTGAAGTAGAGATAAATTTTCCCTTAACAAAAAAATTTGTTCAGACCACATTCAGATGAGGGGGCAGTCACAAGGTTTACCAGCACTAAACCAGCCCAGACATTTATAGTCAACGTTGATAATTGAGTCTCATATAACCATAACATAGTTATGTGCTACCAACCCATACTCTTATCCACTCAGATCAGTATGGGCCGTGCTTGTTTAATCAAAACGTTGATTTCACAACCTCACGCTGTGTCTGCTGTAAGTCTACACCAGCCATCTTTTTCCCCAGGCAAAAATAAAGTACTGCAGGCAAGAACATTGCAGGTTTTTGTTCTTATACATTTACTTTAGAACACACACTTAGAAAAAGTGCTCCTTTTTTGAATTCCTATGCGCAAGAGGTTATGCTGCATGACCCCTCTAATGATGTCCCTCACCTCGCAGAGATTTCCGAGCTACGGGGGTCAACAACCTCAGTACCACACCAGGCTGCTTTCGGAGTGATCTGGGTTCAATCTGAGCGCTTGAACGCTCCCTCTTCAAACACACTGGGGTAAACAAAAGAATGGGGTCCAGGGGAGAGAAGTCTTCCTGGTTAAGTGCATCGTGGACCACAGGCCAGTCCCATCCCCAGGTGAACCAGAGAGGCCTAGGGGCCACAGGACGGGGACGACGGGCTCGGGAGCGAGGACAGAAGAAAGACTGCCCCAGAGGCACGTCTCGTCCTTCACAACAGGGTTTGCGCAAGCAGTTATACGGCAGAAAGCTGGAAAACCGTCAATGAACATCTAACCTTTACCAGTTAATCAAAGAACTGGCGCGCTTAAGTCATTCAGTGCTCAGCTGGCTGCACCAGACCAGGAGGGCCACACGGGCTATTAAACCTGTGCATTGCACCCTCCTGCTGATACAGTTTTAGTCAAACACCAGGTCTTTCAATCCTTTCCAGTGCAGGTCTGGGTAAGGGGTGGGCTGAATCAAAATGACCAACTGCCAGGTGGTGGTGTGAAAATCTGGAACAAGTCAGGTGAAGTAGTATTTGATTGCCCCAATATTACAAGGCCCTAGGGAACCAAACACTGAAGACTTAAGAATCATTAGAATAAACCTTTCCCAACTTAAAACCGCCATTTATACTGCAGAGCAAAACCTCGATCTGTTAGAGCTGCAAACCCCTATGGCCGCACGTTATTGTTTGAATACATTTATTAATAGCAAAGGCAAGAGCAGCACACTGACCCTGTGGATTAATCGCTTATTCCCCCTCATATAATATTAAACATATACAATACTATGAATTCTATAAATTTTAACAAGCCTTTAATGTATAAAAATAAAACAAGCAAAGCAATACTGTATCAGCACTTCTGTATCCATAATAAAAATAGCAACTATATAAATGTAAGATTTCTTATTCCTTTTAGCTCCTCACATCAAAGAGAAACATGCAATTGAAAATGTGAACCCTACGGACAGATCACCTGTCGGTGACTTGGTTTTCTTTCATATTCACAATCCAGGTCATTCATATTCTGTGAAGTTTTAGTGTCTGACCAGCCCCAGGTCTTTGCTGTCTACCACATAAAAACAAGGGTGACCAGATATGGGAAGATCATTTCTCGCTGAGCAAATTAAAATACTTTTTTTTTCAGAAAATTATAGTGCTCCCCTCCCACTCAACAAAATGATTCCTTGTGAAAACAGAAGATTTCTGCGAGTCCCACAATTCAGAAGATATGATGACAATGATGAAATATGGGGCCTAACCATCAAGTTTAATTACCATAATTGAAGTAATGTCCTGCAGAAGGTTCTCAGTGGAGAGCAATGGTTCTTGCAACCAGCCAGGAAGCTGTTTTTAACCCTGCGCTCCAAATATAGGATTTCAGCTGGATACCTGCAGCCACCCTGCTTTCCAGCGTGTTAACTTACCACAAAACAAAACAATCCAATTCATTATTTCATTCTGCAGTTTTGTCACCACTGATTAATCATCTACAGTTCCGATGTTTTCTCCTGAACACCCAGACCGGCGTGAACAGACAATCTGTATGGATGAAAGAACATCGCTGCTCTCCCGAGAAAATTCCTGCCTCTTTTTGCTGTTGTTTACTTTGCTCAATGATTCGTTTGTTCATAAAAACATTTAAAAAAAAAATACATCAGATAAACCTGTCAGAGTTCAGCGCTGGTAGTAACATTCCCAACTTCCTTACAGACAATGGAACGGAACACGAAGTTACATCTCAAAGCCTTGTTCGGAATAGCTGCCAAGGTAGTAGCTGGAAATAGTGTGTCCCAGTAAGAGGCCAAATAGAATGAGGCCTTCTGGGGTCAGCAATCTCCACCTCCATCAAAAAAAAAGACAAAAAAAAAACGGCAATTTATAAGAAAAAAAAACATTGCAGCATAAAATGAAAACATGACCACTGGCTACTTTATAATACAATGTGGCATCCTACCAGGAACAAACTAGTCCTCCCCTCCCCTCCCTGTGTTGTGAGCTGGGACAAGACGAGGCCCCGTTCCTTGGCGGGACAGCTGTGTGGCACTGCAGCGTGCTGTGGAGGAGGCTCCCTGACCCAGGTGCTGGGCTGTCTGCAGGGCACTTACTGCCCAGGGCACGCTGGCCACAACCTGTACACAGCTCCGGTCAAGGGCCGAGTTCACATCTGGCCTCTTCGCAGGCTGTGTGGCTGGGGGGGTGCTCAGTGGTACACAGTGTAACTGTCCGGTTAGCACCTATCATCGCAAAACGTGCAGTTGAGCTTCTATTTTCCAGCCTTGTGCCTTTTCCCCCCCCACAACAGGCACGTCCTGAACACGCAGCTTGTCCATCCTGCCAGCTCTCCCCTGGCTGCTGGCCTCAGCGGCTCGTCAGCCTGACCTGTGCACTAGTCTGAGCAAAGCGCTCCGCCAGGGATACAGCCCGGCACGGAACAGTGCAGCTGCGCCGCATTCTCTGCTAACCTCAGCCCCCTCTGGGAAAGAGGGACTGCGGTTAGTGCTCAATGCCTGCTGAAAGACTGCAGCCTGTCTCCGTAATAATCTGCAGCCCTGAAAGACGTGGGGGAAAAAACCAGCCAAAGACAGGAGATGGGAACATCTTCATCTCGGTGTGCAGGTGCCTTTGTTATCCTCGCGTCTTACAAAGAAAGAGCTGCAAAACGATTTCAATACGTTTTTACAAATGCACAAAATACACTTTCTCTTAGAAGGGTGTAAAGTTATTAAGAAAACAAGTAGTGTGTGAACTTCAGTATATTTGACTGTTCCCTTAGTAAAATGCAGCTGTTCACCATCTGCTTAGTATACCGTGCTTCACGCCACACGGGGAGCAGTAATAAACTGGGAAGGTGGGGAAAAAAACGTCTAGCTCTTTGTGATCTAACTGTGCAAGAACCCTGATTTATATCCACAAGCCAGAGAAAAACGTTCTGGTGTAAATTGTGCATCAGAAAAGAAAACTGTCTTAGATGACAGCTAACTTAGATAACCATTCCACTGGTCTGCTTTCAGTACATGTGTATGTCTTTGTGTGCAGTTTATTTTCCAAAGGCCTGACTTGTTGATATGTGCTCATTATTCAATCACTTCGCAGACTGTCATGAGTAACTGCTTTATGAATTAAACCAGGACCCATCTTGAACCCAGCTCATTTTAATTCCGAACCGATTAGCAATACCTTTATAAGGTAAATAATGAAATTCTGACAACACAAAAAAATACTGGAAGGAGTACTGAAACCAATATTTCACGAGCAGATCACCGATCCGCTTTTGAAAAGTGTGAGACACCTATCAAATGCTGCAAAGGGTACAGGGTTCGCATACCAGCCACAGAAAGCAAACCCCACTCCAACAGGCCATCTAACACGCCTCCTCATTTCAGGTGAGCTGAAAGGATCAAACGCAACATGCTCAGACTACCCCGCTGAACCCCCACGAACTCGCTCATCTTTTCTTGAAGGGGTGATGAGCGACCACCGGTGTAGCACCCAGAGCCCACACCTGCACTGCTGCAGCTGATCCAAGCTCTGCTGCACACTGGGCGAGGAGCTGGAAAGCTGCAGGGCTCCATGCTCTTGAGATCACGAGGCTCCTCTGTGTGCTTCTCTTCCCTCTCGTCCATCCGCCTGGGTGTTCCAGAGTGGCTGTGATCCGTGTTGCAGCCCAGGGGCTGGTGGCCCCGTGACAGAGACTGCTCAACGAACGGGACAGGTGTGAGAGGCCAGGGGGACCCCCCCAGAGCCAGACCAGACCCCCACCCTGCAGCTGGGGTACAGAGATCTCCCCCCCTGCAGTCTGCGAACAGCGCCCCCTGTTGGGCGGCAGAGAGAGGGAGAGAGAGAGGGGGAAGGAGACCCCCCCCCCCCAACACCACCATCGCCTCCTTTTTCTCTCTGAACGAGATGAGTTAAAAAAAAAATGGCATCCATGATTAAAAAGTCTTGCCCACATTTCCTTTTCCTTGTCAAGATCCACTGCTAAAGACAGGGAATTCCAAGACCTCAGGCGTAAGTTTGTTTCTCCTTTTTCCCCGCCTTTCCTATTCCTGTAATTTCATATAGGCAGTTTGTAGCATAAAAAAAACATTTAGAAAACAAGAGTCTCTTGTCCAGATCTTGAGCACTGGACTCAGTTTCTGTACAGGCTTGCAGTAAAGTACCCAGAGAGCTAATCGGATTTATGGCAGTACAGGTCTTTAAGTGCTTTGAGTTCCTCAATCAGAGTTTTGTTCTGATTTTCCAACACGGCCACGCGGTTCTCCAAACACTTGACGTACTCCTTCTTCTTCCTGCGACACTCGCGCGCAGCTTCCCTGAAAGAGGACCAGAGAGAGGCGAGGGTGAGCAAGGAGCACGTGGGCTGAAAACGTGGTGCTGACCCCCCCCCACCTGGGCAGTGTGGTGGCACTGTGGCTCAGGATCTGCGCCTGTGGCTGGAAGGTTGCCGGTTCAAATCCCGCGGCCGCCAGAGGAATCCTACTCTGTTGGGCCCCTGAGCAAGGCCCTCAACCCCAACTGTTCCAGGGGCGCCGTATGAAAGGCTGACCCTGCGCTCTGACCCCCAGCTTCTCTCTCCCCATCTGTGTCCCTCATGGAGAGCAAGCTGAGGTATGGGAAAAGACAAATTCCTAATGCAGGAAATTGTGTATGGCCAATAAAGTGATTTTATCTCATCTCCCCCGTGTAGAGCACTCGTAATGTTTGTACCTAGTGAGCCACCGTACGGAGAGCAGCAACTGACCCAATGAGCATGCTGGTATACACTGTTAGAGGAGAAAGGCTGGAGGAGAGCATGGCGGCCGAGCTCATCAAGCGTTTAAGAAACTTTCTTTAAACGGTTTCTGGTCTCCCAGCCGAGAACGTCACCAGAGAGCTCCTCGGCGTGGCCCGGCAGGCGGGGGCCGCGCAGCTGCCCCCCCCGCTCACCTGTTCTTCATGAGCCGCACTTCTCGCTTGCGGGCCGCCTCCTCGGCCGTCTGCTGCGTGGGCAGGGCCGGCGAGGACGCCATGACGACGCCGGGCGCGATGGTGCTGGTGGGCGCGGTGCGGATCTGGTACGCCTGCACGTCCCCCGAGGCAGCTAGCAGGGAGGCACAGAGGGGCGAGGCGAGGCGCGTGTTAGTGCTGCCCGGAGTCTCTGCCCGAGTCACGCGCCCCACAGTGCAACAATAATAATTCCTTACACTTATACAGCGCTTCTCTGGACACTCCACTCAAAACGCTTTACAGGTAATGGGGATCCCCTCCACCACCACCAGTGTGCAGCCCCACCTGGATGATGCTCCAGTCCGCTCCCCACACACCAGCTCTCAGTGGGGAGGAGAGCAGAGTGATGGAGCCAGTTCAGAGACGGGGATTATTAGGAGGCCATGACGGGTAAAAGCCACAGGGAAATCTGGCCAGGACACCAGGGGGCACCCCTCTACTCTTTCTGAGAAACACCCTGGGATTTTTAATGACCACAGAGACTCAGGACCTCCGTTATGCATCCCATCTGAAGGACGGCGCCTTTTTACAGTGTCCTGTCCCCCTCGCAAAAAACGGGGCATCAGGACCCACACAGGCTGTAGTGTGAGCGCCCTCTACGGCTACTCCCAGCTGCAACCTCAGCTTTCCCAGGAGGTCTCCCCTCCAGGTACAGGCAAGCTCACCCCTGCTGAGCTTCAGTGGGCTGCCAGCTGTGAGTTGTGGGATGATCCAGTCTGGGCTCATTCCTAACATGGCTTTCCCGAGTCTGGGACATTTAAGGAATTCCTGCAAGGCCGGGGGGATAACCTTATCAGAAACAAGCACTGCGCCGCGTGTAATGATCACTTCTAAAGCTCCATTCACGGTAATAACAGAGGGTGACCGGCGCTGTACTCAGACTATTAACCTTCCCGCAAAACCGCTTGGACTCAGGGCACCACGGGGAATACAGCCTGTGCTCGTCTTCCTTGGTGTTCTCCAGAAGATGGCCCTTCTCAGAACAAAACGTGACTTTGCTGCGGCTTCCAGCCCCCCCCTCCCCCACAGAGGCACAGATCATACCGTCCCTGGTGGATCCGGGAGACTCGACCCACACCCCCACCCCCACTGTGCTGCGCTGCGCTGCGCTGCGCTGCGCTGCGCTGCGCTGTGTGCTGCTCACCTTGCACCACCACCTGGTTGCTGGGCACCAGGATCTGCTGGCCATCGGTGGTCTGCGCATACTGCAGGATGGTGGTCCCTGGCTGGGCGGCCGCAGCGTTGGTCATGGTCAGGGTCTGCAGCCCCTGCACGCCGTCGGTGCCGTTGTTGGCCAGCTGGATGGCCCCTCCCTGGGTGATGGCAACTAGGGGAAAGCCAGACACAGCCGGAGTGAGCCAGGGCCCCGGACAGGGCGCGGATGGAGTCTCCACCTGTCCCTTTTGCAGCCCACGCGTGCCGACACGGCCACCGGCTCGAAAAACGCCCCCCAAAAAATGATGTTTGCAACTATAATCTTAGAATTATACATAGCATGACCGCCTCGAAACTCATTTCAAAATAGAATCAAAACGTGGAAAAAACGGAAAAAGAAAAAGGAATATAGATCAATATTAGGAAAATTAAAAATGCTAATGTCACTTCATACATTAAAAATGATGCTGAAAAGAACTGCAGACTTGTGCACATTGCTGTTCGTATCATACAGTTGGCTTTCATATGCGATCAAACCCTGTACCTGCAGGGCTGACTGATTAATGCAGGGAGTTCATTTTTTAGGTTCCCGTTTTTAATTACTTCACAGAATGCTTGAGCATTTGTTTTTGAATTAGGAGGTTGCGTGTTACAATATGCAAATAAGGGTCCAATAAATTCTGATTGAATGGGTTCCGATTTCTAGCTGTTGGGACAGGAGATGCGTTACTTTGAAAGGGGTGTGTTGACTTTAAATAAGCAATTCCCCGAATGCCTACTGTCTGCAATTTATGAGGAACTTGACAAAATTCTTTCTGAAAATCCCAATGCACCCTGTCAACAACTATACCCACTACTGCTGCCGCTTGTTTACACGAACTTAAGTGAGACCGGGTGGTCCAGTATTTCAGTAGGCCTTCCTCAGACAGTCCCATTCTAAGTGTGTCCAATCCTGCTCCCTTGGTTGAAACACAGACGTTTACTACTGTATTGCATTGAATTGCTTTTAAGCGCGAATGCCGTTTGCCAGCTTGGAAAGAAAAAACGAAATCGCCGCCAAAGCAAATAGCTCCCAGTCGAGCCGAGGAAGTGAAAGCCATTATCCGAGGCGCTCCGAGGCGCGCTGCCTGAAGACGATCCCAATCCCAGCTGCCCGCAACAGGACACCGCCCATCCCCTCCCAAGACCTGCGCCGCCACGTACTGTACTGCCCGCTGCTGGTCTGGTAAATGGGCGTCGGCACGGTGACGGTGGTGATGGCGGGAGCGGAGGAGTCTTCCTCGGATTTCTCCTCCTCTATCCGCGGGACCCCCGGGGCGTCCGAAGACAGGTCGTTCAGGATCTTCCTGCCCAGCGGAACGGCACCGGAGTCAGTGATCAAACACACAAGAGCCCACCGTTAGGGAGTTTATTTTTAAAGCAGGTTTGGTGGGACATTACAACGGACCCAGGACGTTCTGCAGGGGTAAAAATGAGGAGCGGGGAGGAGGGTTTCCTTATTTTATTTTCTAAAGCAATAAATGTCAAAAGTACTGCCTGCTCAGGTAAAGTTCCCACTAAGCTGCAAAAAAGCCATATCAACCTCAAAAGAAGACGCGTCATTCTATGTTTCCTGGGCATTTAAACAGGGTGAAGACAGTACAGTCACAACAGATGAATACCAAGCAGTCAGGATCCTTTCTTATATTATTAGGAATTCACTACAAACTCAAATGAAAGACATGCCCGTTCTCCACTGCAGACTTACACATTGTGAGGTTCCTGCGCCTTAGAATGGTTAGTCGACTGGCGGCGGGGGGGGGGGGGCTCACGAACAGGGCGAGAAGTCAATCCCACAGTCCCCGCTGAGCCCCCCCGGGGTGCCAGAAGAAACGGGACAGGACCCGGGCCCGGTTTCCACAGCCATACCTGTAAGAGGGCCGCCTGGAGAGGATCTCCCTGCGCTTCTGCGAGTCCGTCACGCTGTCCACCGACTCCTGCGAGTCCTCGCTCTCCGCGATCGTGGAAATCTGGAAACACACCTGCCCTGCTCAGTCTCTCCTCCGAAACACACCCGCCCCCCGCACCGCGGAGCTCCGATCGCTCACAACTATGCCCACAGTCCTGACCGACTGACACATCAGATCTTACAGCCCCCCACCCCCTTCATTAGAAGGAAAAGACCAGAGTCCCCTCTTTGAATGAAGTGGAAAGAACCCTTCACAAGCACACTTTCTAATTTCTAGAAAGACAAAGGTGACATTCTGGGGCGAGCCAGGACCTTCCCCAGAGACACAGCAGTTTTACACTGCAGTTAATCCTACTGCTTGCTACGCACTGGGGCTGTTTGGGAGTAAGGCTTTATAAATTGTGAAATAGTTGCTGCAGAAGTCACATTGTGAAACACTGTATAAGATACAGTAACAAAAAATTATAATGATAAGTTTGACTTTCAAAAAGACAAGCCCTCCCACACTACACACACAGGGACCTGCTGGAGGCAGGGTGAGAGTAGTGCAGTTAGAATGAACGTAAGACGGTGAAGTGTTTTCTTAATTTGGCGTACAGCCTCCTCGCAACTCAAGCAAAACTAATTTAAATGCTACTTTAATTGTTCACTCTGTAGAGAAAAGTAAGATGCTTCATACTTAAAAATGAAAGCATGCAGACATGTGGACCTGCAGATAGCAGCTCAGCAGTGTGCACTAGGAGAAATCAGTCTGTAACAGAAATAACAATGCATACAATCCAAAACGTTTTCTAGTGGCTAGTTCTTTCGTGCTGCGTGATACGGAACTGCTGGAACTAAAAAATGGGCAACTGGACACCTCTGGAATCTCGCACGTTAGTGCTGCATCTGAACGTGTTTTTAGAGCTCTCATTCTGCTGTGGGACAGAGTCACACGCAGCTCCCACTTTGTCATGCACTGTAAAATTAGGGAGAAAAAACTCTCGCCCAATGGGCTATGCTTCAGGAACAGTTCCTTGCCTTCCCACAAGGCTTTTCTGAGGCTGGCCTCTCACGCCTCACCCCTGTGCGCTCAGCCTCTCCAGTCGCCGGGGCTGACCCCCATCATGTGACAGCTGCCTTGAACGAGACTTGACCAGACTGGCAAGGGACCGAGACGCCCCCAACGAGGAAGGGATCTGATTATGCCCATTACAGGGAGTCGTTCATGGTTTTCTATAACATGCCGGGGGCTAGGATTCAGGTTTCCAGCCCTGGCCTGCATTGCCCACGTCGCACTCGTTAGCCGTCTCTAACTAACGGGCTTTTCAGTGAGTCCCTACATAAGCTGTTTTATGTCTGATTCTGAAACAATGCACCACTGAACCAGTCACGTGCCATGCGGAGAGGACACCAGTGGTCACCCTTATTTTAGCTGCCACCTGTTGACGCGGATTCGGTGACGAGAACAGGCGGAGACGAGCATCCCAGCTTCACTGAGCTATTCCGATATCGCTCCCCCTCGTAAGCCTTTTGAGGTAGATATTTTAATTCAGGGGTGCAATCCCTCTAGCAGACAGAATCCAGACTATACTCGTTTAAAAAAAACGGTCTAAGTCAAAAAGTGAGTATGAAAAGAAACAGATCAGTGAGAAACAGTGAGAAACAGATCTGCTGTTGAAAGTCAAGGCTGTGCTGGACCAGCAGGTCACCTGGACGATTCGCCCACTCCTGTATGGAGAGCAGTGCGCGACGCAGGGACACCCTACAGCGGACAGGGGAGCTGTGAGGGTTGGGGGTGACGGTACCGGTCGCGGCTCTCACCTGGACAGTCTGCACCTGCGGGGACTGTATGACGGAGGGCTGTGCTGCCTGGATCACGCCGTGCACCTGGACGGTCTGTCCGTTGGGCAGCTGCACTAGGGTCACCGTGGGGCCAGTGGAGGTGGTGTGAGCACCTGCAGCCATGGACACCTTCAGAGCACATCGAGACACGGGCATTAACACCACCTGGCGATGGGACACTGCCATTCCTGCTGCTAAAAAACTGCATGGGGACAGTCCAGCACGCAGAACTTTGCTGATACACACTGCACTGTGCTTGTTTTAAGCAACTCCTACACGTCCACAGTCACATATCCCCAAGGCTCGATGCTTTAATAAACACTTTTACTTTTCACGTTGAGCATTACCTAAAACCTCGTCAGAAGGACATTTTATGACACGGAACACAAAGAAGACAGTACAAGGGCAAAATGCACCATGAGAAATCTGAACATCAAATTTAAGAAATCGAATTTAAAAGTCAAACGCGATGAGAACGGCAGAAAGGTTTTTAAGACCCGACTTTAACGATCTAACATTTTTTTAATAAAGGAATTCCCCCCCGCCCCGTCCCCAAGGTGTGGCTGTCCCGGGTTTACCTGCGCCAAGGCAGCGATCTGGGGCTGTGCCTGCACTCCGATCTGCTGGCTGTCTGTCTCTGCAACAGCAGTGTCCCCACCCTGCTGCGTATCTGCACCCGATTCCATGGTCATTGAGTTAGCTACAAATGGAAGAACAACGCAAAAATTACAGCTCCGCCAAAGGTGATGCCAACACCTGTGAGGGTTCTGTAGCTATGAATTCACACTGGGAATAGAGCAGAGTGCAATTATCAAGAGAGATGACTACACATCGGCGCAAAACCCCTGCGAAGGAAAGACGGACATTACGTGAAAACAATATCAGAAGTACAAATCCTTTGATCAGTGTTAGCTTTCCAGCCTCCAGCTGAACGTTTATCTTCCTGAAGAGTCCTCTCACAGTTTTAAGCCGCAGCACCAGTAGTGATTATTTTTGCAGGTCAGCAGATCACACGAGGTGCGAGGATTTGAAGGCTCAGGGGAGATCAGAGAGATTTAAGAATATATAAAAAGCAATAGAAAAGAATCCTAGTTTAAAAGATTTTAACTCAAAGCACAAAAACATCATCTTACCCCCTCCATATTAAGATCATCATTTCGCTCAATCCCTCACCGTAAGAGTTCTTAGTACTTCAATGCCTACAATGGCAGAAGCTGTCCTGACTCAATAGACAATACTGATCTGTCCATCGGCCCTGACTTACCCATCTTACAATGAGACAGGACTGCACTGACAGATTTTTTAAAAAGATGTATGTTATCCTCTAATATTTTTAAAAGGAAAACCTAATCCTCCTTTTCGGAACGAGACAGCTGTTAGAGGAGTCCAGTGCCACCAGAAATGCGTGCGTTGATGACCTGGGTATGAAACACTCAGGAAAGTCCTGCTGCAACAGCGAAGAGTGAAAGGTGTAATCGCAGAACACACTGAACATGTGAACACTTAGCCACACTGCAGTATTAACCACAGGGAAGTACGCGTCCCCCAGAAACTTGTGCCAGGTAAGCACTGCCGGTATTACATTAAGTAAACTGCTACAGACACACTCGAGGAAGATTCGGTGTTATTTCAAACAGGGAAGGATGACGAAGTGTGCCCTGAGATAAATACATTGGCATTGAGTTTGTTTACTGACTTCTGGCAATTCTCCCAAATACCTTCTTTACTTCTTCTAATCCACTATTACACTTATTATTCAGGAAGGGTTTGGACAGAACAAACCCTTACTTAATGACTGGGAAAAAGAAACACATCACTTAACAAAGTATGTGCTCGTGCCTCATCGGCCCCTGCTGAGCTCGTCATACCCCAGGAGCGAGGTGGAGCTGGCCGGATGGGCTCCTGTCCAGTTTGCATGGTCAGGACCCAAGGACGGAGCAGGCGTGTGAACCAAGCTTTATGGCTCAATTCCATTTTGAGATGGAAGAATCTGGCCTCCTTAAATTCTGCACTTAATTCACCTGGCTAAGTGATCTCCTGCTTCTCCTTTGGATGTGCAGGCAGTGGGGCTGGCTGCGCAGAGCCCTGCCCTTCAGCAGGGGATGAAGTGGGTTACGGCCCTGCAGTGTGTGACGGGCTGGGGATCCTCTGGGAAGCACAGCTCTGCACATTTGCAGGGAGTTATTAATAGAACTGCTATTACAGGACTACAGCTGTAATGAAGTACAGCTGTAGTCCCGGTCACCTCCTTTAAGCCGAAATAGCCTGATGCCAGTAGCACCTTTACACAAAGACACGCTGTGATACTAGTGTACAGAACATCACAGCAGCCCCTCTGTCAGGAAAAGTCCTAAAGTTTTCTCCAAGGCATCTTTCCTAGCATCTTCTCTTTATCTCCTGTCCTGAAAGGTTTAGTTCAGTATTCGTTTCTAAAAAAATATTGTTTTTTTTTGTTCTTCTGCCCTAAAACAAGAGGTTAAGCGCCGGATTTCTCACTGCGCGCATTTTTTTAACCATTAAACTTGGTTCACAACCCTGTTCAGTCTTCGGGTCCTTTTAATGCCTCAGCAAAACTTTCCAAACAATGCCAATTACTAAATATGCTTAGAAAAAATTCCAATTTAAATTTTGACAATCTGTTTGAAAATCCTCTCTCCTTTTTTAGCACTAATTAAGTCATTTTAAGTGATTTACTGTGTAAGTGTTGATGCCTTATCACACCTTAAAAATAACATTCAGTAAAGACAGCCATTATTACCTATTATTAGTAAGTAATCACTATGTCCATCACTGTGCACACACACACAATCGAACCTGGAACCCGAGAGGCAGCAGTGCTAAGAGGCACACCACCATGCTGCCCTTCAGCAAACAACTATTCAAATTTGTTGTTGTTTTTGCTTACAGCATGGGGCATTTAGACACATAAAATGAAATCCACCTTCGTGATCTTTCCGTGCAAAGTGCAGCTTCTCACGATTACAAACTTCTGTTCTTCGCCAAGCGTAGCGGACATGGAACAGCCCGCACCCTTCTCAGGTCACACGGGGACAGAAACGCCTCTGCTGCAGGGCAGGTTACCTAACCATGCGTAGAGCTGCAAAAGTGACGTCAGCAGAAGGGGCCACTACTATATTGGCCCACTTATTAGAGTCGCAATCGCAATAGAGATCATTACGCATTTAGATCCAAACACAACACGTTTCAGAGCAACGCAGACTCTTCAGACCCACAGTAACCCACAGTATGGGAGGAGCGGTGGCTCTGTGGCTCAGGATCTGTGCCTGTGACTGGAAGGTTGCCGGTTCAAATCCCGCGGCCGGCAGAGGAATCCTACTCTGTTGGGCCCCTGAGCAAGGCCCTTAACCCTAACTGCTCCAGGGGCGCCGTACAATGGCAGACCCTGCGCTCTGACCCCCAGCTTCTCTCCCTGTCTGTGTGTCTGTGTCTCCATGGAGAAAAGCTGGGGTATGCGAAAAGATGAATTCCTAATGCAAGAAATTGTATAGGGCTAATAAAGAAACATTATACATTATCATTAATCCAGCACTTCCAGCTACTTACAGATAATAAAGCCTCATGCTGAATTTTACAAAATGATCCTACTATGGTAGTATTAAAAAAATCAAAGTGTCACTGTATTAAAACAAGGTGTTTCATTCGAAGTCTCCTTAAGAATCTTTTGGGAACGTCTTCTCTTTTTTCTCCCTTTTTGAGCCTAATTTTTGTAGTTGAGAAGGTGTGTGTCTGGCCGAAGCCTTTTATGAGGTTCTGGAGGGAAAGGAGAGAGGGGTGACAGCGGAAAAAGATGGACCGTGATGAGAGACAGTGAGAGAGCAGCCGGAGCTTCCCCTGCCCAGCGTACGGAGAGGACTGGCTAACAAGGACAACCCACGATCCATCCTTTTCAAAACACTGTGACACAGAGCTGTCGGTTTGTAAACTCTGAAATAAATACCTGTACGATACCTGTACTACCCGTTTTCCCATAGAACTTGTGATCCAAGTCATTACCCTTCTATTTGACTGTCTGTATTTAACTCTCTCGGACGCCTCAAGCAGAGCTGCTGGAATAAGGGGGGTGCTTGAGTTCGCTCAGTTTCACGGCTGACTTGCCCCCATCTGAAACAAGCTCATTTTAAAAGTTTGACCTCTGTGCAGCAGAAGAGAAAAGGAGGAGCCAAAGGAGGAGGGATTGAGAAAAGAAAATCAGCACCAGGAGAAGGAATACGCAGCAGCTGTTTCGTTAGAAGCAGAGCTGAGCCGAGCTGAGCTGCCCGCCGGCCCCAGTGAAATCAGGCTCTTGGCTACGTGCCTGCGGGCGGGCCGCCACACCGTCTGTAGCGCTCTCAGGGAGCGGGGAGGGAAAACGACCACCTGGCAGCGCGGGAAAATCAGGCTTCAGCCGAGACCGCCGCTGGACGGGAGCCCAGGCAGCACGGCCCCGCTCTCCTCGGCTCGGCCTCGGGGTACTGACCCCCCCGTCGGAGCGAGCGGGGCAGGAGGGCGAGGGTGACCAACAGCCCCTCCGGTGGACAAGCGGCGGCTCTTCTTTTGAAATGAAACAAGACGGACTACAACATGTGGAACTACGGATTCCTGAGGAAAATGCGTCAGAGGGGGGGTCTTATTTTTCGCAGGCAAGCCTGAGCTGGAGCCGCCTCTCTCCAGCAGAGGAGCCAGGTGCCAAAGGTGCAGCTGTCACCCCTGCAGCGTGACTGTCACCTGTACCCCACCTCCAACCAGAACTGCACACAGGGAACTCAACACGAACTCCAGCCCTGCACTGTGACTGTCACCTGTACCCCATCTCCCACCAGAACTGCACACAGGGGACTCAACACGAACTCCAGCCCTGCACTGTGACTGTCACCTGTACCCCACCCCCCACCAGAACTGCACACAGGGGACTCAACATGAACTCCAGCCCTGCACTGTGACTGTCACCTGTACCCCACCTGCACACAACGTGTCGAACCCAATGAACTGGAGCCCCGTGGAAATAACCAGCCCCACTCGCATTTATAAACATGGCAAAGCAAAACATCAACAGGGAACGACAACAACA